TTCATCTAACGAGGCCTCTCTCCTGGCCTTGTGTTTCTCCTCCATCATTTTTCTTTTCAAAAGAGGTAAACCACCTCTAGACAAAATATGAGGATACTTATTGTGTGATTGCGTTTCTTGTGCTTTTTTTCTTCTTGCCTGTATATATATAAATATATTAAATATTCTAGTTTAAAATAGACTAATGATATATTAATCACATGTAGTCATGAATGACACAATTAATATTACACAAAAGTAAAACTTACTAAGAATTCAGGAGTTTGACGAGATGCAACAAAAGCTTCCCATGTATAAAATCAAGATACGGGTAAGTCTTGATATATGGAAGCTGACCCTTTTGTTTCCCGGATATGTAGCGATTGAGGCTCGTCTTAAAACTCCTCCAATTTTCCCCAGCACGTCTTAACCAGTATTCTTTCAATTTTTTATCATTCGGCAACTCAAATATCTCCTACAAACACATAATTAATAACATTATATAATTTGTTAATGGAAAAAATATACCGGTTTATATGATATGGAAAGAAATGAAACATAATAATATTTATAAATATCATACCNNNCAGATTTGCTCTTTAATCTTGTCGGGCACACCATCTTTCCAATTTTCAGCTAAAATGCTGGCTTTGCTCCGAGCTAAAAGGCCAACACAACTAATGAAATCAGTGATAATATCGATGGTCGGTCCATCTGGCTGCATATCACAATCAAATGATATTTCTTTCTTTTTCCCGCTTTGAAGCATTAAATGTGGCAATCGTGTTGCTCCGCGCCCGCCCTTTCGACAATCTTTCTGAGAATGATTTGACTCGTTCATAGAGTTGGAGTGAGCATCATCACTATTGAAATCCTCCATTCCTGCACGCACCAAAGTGAAATATGTAAATAAATGTACATTCCTGATATGTAAATAAATGTACAACATTGTAGAGAAAAGAATCGACATTTATGCAAATACTAGCAAAACATCAACCAATTATGTTGTCACACAAACATCAAACAACAATTATAGCACAATTATTACAACATTTAACTTGCAGCACATACATCATCAAATATTTTACGAACATCATACAATTATAAACACCAGATAATTATTTTATACTTACTGGCAAAGTTAATTTATTGGTGTGTTTTCCCATATGCCTTCATGATGATCGTTTCTTGCAGCACATACATCATCCAGTTCAACTTCTTCATTTTCAACAGCTATCCTTGATGTGTTGGAAGGAAATTCAGAAACATCAATAGTCAAGTCATTCTTATCATCATCTGATACTTGTCGTTTCCCATGGAGGACAACTGAACAATTTTCGTTGCTCGGGTCAATGACATAAAACACTTGCTTTGCTTGACTTGCCATGATAAATGGTTCATTCTTGTATCCAACTTTACGAAAATCGACTAAAGTAAATCCTAACTCATCAACTTGCACACCATTATTACTATCTACCCATTTACATTTGAAAACAGGCACAGTAAACTTAACGTAGTTAAGCTCCCATATCTCTTCAATAATCCCAAAATAAGAGCTAGAGGCACATAACGGGTTTTTGTCTTTTGCACTCGAGAAATGCATTGATTCCGCTTCAACTAAAACCCCACTATTTTGCATAGTGCTCTTTTCATCTCGTTCTTTCGTGTAGAATGAATACCCATTTATGTCGTAACCACGCCAAGATATGATATCAAAATTAGGTCCAGCCGCTAACCAGGAGACTGTATTTGAAGCAGAAGGGCAATTAGTAACTTCATTCTTAAACCACGATATGAAGGTCCTGTTATGCTCGTTCACTAACCATCGTTCTGCTTTTCGAGGATTTTTCTCCTTTATGAGTCTCCT